GGCAAATAAAATGGACCAATGGGAACTGACCCTGATGGACCTGTCAGGAGTGAACAAGAAAAGGGCTTATTTAAAATATGTATTTCCAATTTTCCCTATCTCTGATGATATGCTGAAGAACGAGTGTGAAAGGTCAGAGGATGAATATACCATCCTCCCCAGGGATCGCCTTACATTCTTATTCCATACCTAGCAATGTGTTCCTCCCGTTTCTCTCTCTTCACCGGCTGCTCAACCGTTTCGTCTTCTTACTGCTTTGCGCCGATTTACTCCTCCCTTTAACCCTGTGCGCCATTGTGGGATTAGGGGTTCTGCGAAGAGCGAGAGACCCCGTAGTTGGAAGGAAAGGTTAACTACCTTGAAGTTTGAGATTTATATTCGTATTAGCCGTCACAGAGTGAAGCAGCTGTAGCCGTTAACGCTGTATTGACTTGGCTTAAAGTAGTTGACGCCATCTAACATTGGCTTCTTACCTGGAAAACGCTTCAGCTTCGGTTTGATCTCTGGGATAAGACAACTATGTTGTCCTCCCTTCTAAAAATAGCGACATATTTTCATTTTAGTTTGTTTTGTTCGAAATTGCAGTTAGCTCTCCTTTTGTCCCAGAAAAACGATAATATTATTTTTTTAAGTTTCACGTTCCTCTGCTTTATGGTGTAGTAATGAAAAGTATTCCGATTAGTTGGCATCACACTTCATTCCTTTGGAAAACACCTTCTCTTCCGTTGCCGCGAGGTTGACCTTACTTTCTATTTATATAATCCTTTAAACAACAACTTTCTTGACATAAACCACGTTAAATTTCAGGTCCCCTTCACCTTCGAGTCTTGGCCTCCTTGGACGCGAACCACTGGGTGTTGTTGGACTGCACAATTTGGGAAATACCTGTTACATAAATAGCGCACTTCAGTGCATTTCCAACGTACCCCAGCTGACGGATTTCTTTCTTTCGGATAGACATAAAGATGATTTGAATTCCGTTAGCATGTTAGGTTCAAAGGGCGTTATTGCGGAAAGTTTTGCTGAGCTCATAAAATGCCTGTGGTCAACGGGCACAACGGAGAAAGCTATCTATCCTTGTGACCTCAAGGTAATTCTGCCTGGTAGGATTTTCATTCTTCATGGTACAATTTTTTCTCATGCCCCACTTTCATTATATTGGTTGTTATATTGCGAATACTGTTATTTTGAAACATCCGCTTTTTGACCCTGATGTGGATCACCCTCGACGAGGTGACAGAAAGAAACTAGCGAAACCGATTCTCCTCACCCGCTCACATTTATGTTTCAATCACCAAGATAGTAAAACTTAAGGTAATGAGAGGAGTCATTCATTATGTCCTGATAATCTCGGAGAGTCTAAAATATTATGAGGTTGTCGGTATAAGGGAACAGAAAATGAAAAAAGTGGAGAAAAAGTAGCAGAAATTTAGGTTGAGAAGCATATGTGATCATTGAAACAACAAGTTTATAAGCCTGTCCCATACACGAAATACTTCGTAGAGATTGTCACAGACAAGGCTGACGGATAGAGAAGATCTGCACTATTAATAGGATGCACT